CACTGCTGTCGACATTCCAGATGCTACCATACCTGCCACCTGGCGTGGGGGATCACTCGACGAACGGCTTTGCACATGCGGGATACACCAAGCTCAAAGCTTTCGGTACATTGGATGTCGGTGTACCTACGGCCTGCAGAGCAGCACCTACTGCAGACAGATCCTCACCGCAGGGTCCTGCGAGTGTCTGGCCGCGGTAAGCAGGGACATGAGCCTTCGAGCCTCCAAGACCAACGAATCCACTACGCTCAACACCTATCCGTCTCCTTCAACCCGCTAGCGCCACGGGCTGGACCCTTGGATTTCTGCTGCGTCCGCTCTTGGGCCGATTCGCAGCCCGGAATTCCTCCCGTTTCTGGAGGGCCCCTCCAACTTTCACCAACCTCGTTCCAGCCGCCGGTGCGTCTTTCCGTCTCGCTGCACGGCCGTGGCGTGAAGTCGCCTCTCAGCATCACGCGTCTAAGCTTCCCAGAGCTGGTTCCACCTGGCGCGCAGCGGTATCCATCTGAAATTCACCGATAGTGACAAGAACTTGACACCGGTTGCCCGGCCCAGGTAAGTCCACTCGAAACTGTCGGGAAACGGGCTGACTCGTTACGGGTGCCTTGGCGAGTCGTTTCTGTCTCCTCTTCCAAGGTTTCCGCTGACGAAGAGCAGGAAAACGAGTCGCCGCAATGGAGCCCTTGTGAGCGATATTTCCTTCTAGTCGACGTCGGCTTGGAGCATTGTTTCGACCCCACGGACAGGGTATGCGAACCGAGTGTCGTCCATCGGAGGAGTCGCCTTTGGGGACCGACTCCCGCCCTTCTTAGCGTCTTCCGCATTCAACCAATCCTTGACGAGAAGAAGTTTCCCCTCCAAAAAGAAGCCGAATTCGAACTTTTCGGCGGGGCTGCCACTCCCGCCTCCATTCGTTTCCCATTCTCTTGGTTCATCGACTCCCTCGCCACCGTCCTTTCTTTTGAACCAGGTTACCATTGACAGGAGTCTCGCAAGGACGCAAGTGGTGCACATCACCAGTCAGCCGCCGCCACTCGGTCTCTTCAACCGCAGCTGGAAGGTCCAGCTCGTCCAACTCTCTTCGTCTGAAGCTGTGCCGAAGCTGACATCCGTCGCTTTGAACCTGCGCACAAGGCTCCGTTCCGAGCATCTTCAGGTCTTAACACCCAGATCGATATCTAAAAACCAGTAGGACATTCTGATACCGCTTTTCCATCCTAAGCCCGTGGCCCTGTCATGGCCTAGCTTCCGCTAGCACCTCCATTTACGGGCTTGCTATGTCGGCTGACGCTGCTCACGCCGAAAATCGGGGATCTGGTACTACCTTTGAGAGCGTCAGGCGACTCAGGTACAACAGATAAAGATGCAGCAAGCGGTGAGCCACGCGACACTTCCTTGAGAGCGTCTTGCCTGGCGAATCGCAAATGATGGCTTGTGGTTCTAAATGCGAATGGCTGGGTGCCAGGACGGCGACCTGTTCACGAATTGCGAGATGCAACCTACCGTGTCTTGGCTTATACCAAAACGAATGATCTTGTGGTCTCTTGTCTCATTTTCAGTCATCAGAGTGAAGGATCAAGAAAGACTTTGGATGTTCAGATCTACTCTCGGAAAAGCCAGCTGCCAAGCGTCGACTCGTGCGCACGACCAAACATCCGTTCATTGCCACGGCATAGTCTGATGGCTCGCTAATCTCAAAGTCCGACGCCCCCAAACCTTTAATCAGCCTCCACGATGTGGTAACGCCGGAGGCTGGCACCTCGGAGCAAAGTTGTTGAGCACTTTGTTTTCCACGTGCCATCCGGACATCTGGAATTCATGACGATAAGATAAGGGACTGTCAAAGCGGTCCAGACCCGGCCACTGCTGAGTTGCGTGCGCATCCATCAACGGGTCACAGCAGAATCCGCTCCAACCCATGGCAATATGTCGAGCAAGTAAGCCCAGCTCGCTGGTTCGGTTTCACACTCACCCAGAAGCTCGCAAAGCTGCTGCCGATGTTGAAGAACGAGAAGCGTCTCCGGGAATTTCTCCAGGTTTTGACATCGTTCCATGTCAAGTCAAATGCGGGGTTAGCCTAAAAGCGTGAACAAGCGCCAGTATCGTAAAAAAAAAAAAAAAAAAAAAAAAAAACCCTTGGACGAGTCGTGGAGACACGGACCATCGACTGACTGCCCAGTGTGTCCTGTGTTGCCGATTGCAGTTTTCCAGGTAGACGGGAAGATGGGGGCGGGTTGCTTGACCCGGGTTCAATTAGGTTCGTTTCTGAGCAATCTCACTCAGAAGCAAATAGGCGGCCAATCCCAGCTCTTGGTCAACTATCATAAAGCAAGATGAGCGAGAGCTTGAGGGTGTCCTGGCTGAGAAGGCTGAAGAACAGAGCAAGTGAGTAGGCCGGTGCGGTGCGTGATCCTCTAGTCGTCGAGGTGATGATTTTCACCCTCGTCACAGACTCGCAACACGCTCCACACTGCCCACCCGCCAATCCTTTGCATCCTGATTCCTCAAACAGACATGGCCCTGCCCTCCCTGATGGTTTTGATAATGGCGGATCTCACAGCATGCATCGGCAGCCGCACAGAGCCCGAGTTTGCATCCAGGAGAGTTCGGATCAACGGGCTTGGCAAACCCTTCATACTTGCGGACCGAGCAACATCAAGTTGGTTGGGTTGCGGCAGTGAAGGTGGTAGAGTTGTGTTGTCATTAGGATGGAGGTTGATGTGCAGGGGTCTGCCCCGTCTGAGGTGGTTGGCTGGACGGTCGATGGAATGTTTGTTTTGCTCATTGGCCTTCCCGAGCCGTGGATGCCGTGCAGCGGCAACGATAAACTTCGTTTCGAGTGTTGGTTATCTGGGTTCTCAGAGTCGCACCTAGGCTAAGAGGGATGGCATTGCATCGCCCAAGAGCCTCGGAATGATGTTGCTCAGAGATTGGCGGCGATCTGCGGCTTCAGACAGCATGTCTCTGGGCTTGGCTGCGGCACTGTGACGTATCGGGCCCCGGGAGAGGGAGATTGGCGCCGTTGGACGGACATGGACGAGTCGGATCCACCGACGGCGGTCACAATCGATGCTTCAGCTGAGAATAGCGCAGCACAGAGAGAAGTGAGGTGAGAAGCTGGGACTGCTTCACGTGTTGCACAGCGTAAAGCATGTTATTGTTGGGTTGGGGACAGCAACAACGATGGATGCTTTCAGTGGACTTGCTCCCTAGCGAGCCCCCCACTTCGCATCCATCTCAGGGCGAGCACTGCATGATATGCCCCCCAATCAGTGTTGCATCTTGTCTCCGGCCCTGTAAGTAGGTAGAGGCTGGCGTGTAACTGATGCTGTGCGCCCACCAGAAACTGCTGCGATGTGCGGGTTTTTGGACGGGGGTTTGGTTTCCTGCGGAAGGAAAGAATGGAAGGGTTTTGCGAGGCAGCTGGACACACCACACACCACACAAGCACACACACACCAGGTGGAGGGAGGAGCAATGAACGGATGCATCTCAAAATTTTCGATCAACAGCGCAAAGAGTGGATTTCAGTTTTCTCCCCTTCCTTGCCCTCCCTCGTCACCCTCTTTTTCCCTACATTTCTCCCCTCTCTCGCGCGCCAAAACACCTCATTTCTCCTCTCGCAGCCTCTCAGAGCAAAAAAAGTGACACTGCACTGCACTTGAACTTCCGTCCCGTGTCCTCCGACCACGATCCGACGCCGCCGCAGCCTTCGTCCGTGACTTGACGCCCGCAGTTACCTCAAGCTCCAGACTCGCTGTTTGGGCCTGACTTGACCAGGGGACAGAAACTACCCAGCTCACACTGTCGAGGCGCCCCTCTCTTTCAGACAAGCATCTGCGGCAACACAGTGGCGCTGAAGCGTCCTGGGCCCCCGGCTGCCTTACCTCACTGCCCGTCTTAGGTCATCTTTCAACACACTCTACGACACTCCTTTCAAGACTGCTCGCAGACACACGTGGTGGTTTACGGCGTGTAGAACCAGCCACTCATCTGCACGCACGCATTGCTCACTCACTCGCTCTTCATAAAACGCGCTTTTCAACGGCAAACCGAGCGCGCAACGAGAGCGTAGAGGGAGAGTGAAAGCAAGAAAAGCCTTGGACGAACTCGAGAGCGCGCGAACAGCTGGTTCCGGCATTAGCATCGGCACTGACTGACATTGGCATTCGCACTGGCTCTAGCATTGGCCATTGGCATTGGTCCTGGGCTCTCTCTGGAGTGGCACTAGCACGGTAACGACTCACGTTCCCTTTCCTGGTCCTTCGGTGAATTTGGGGCGGTCCAAATCCAGATCCAGCTCCAGAAGCAGACTGGTGCTGTCATCTGCTGTTTCTGCTACAGCTCCTGCTGCGCTGCTCTGCTTGCTGTTTCTGTCGGCTTCTGCACGCAGCTTCTCCTCGACCCAGATTTCCGCCTATTCGTCGTCGGATCATTCCATCGATCCTTCCCTTCCCACACTGCCTTGCCTCGCCTTGCCTTGCCTTGCCTTGTCGTAAAGGTCGGACCACCAAGAGCAGGAAGAGAGAGAAGACGGACGGTGAGAGAAAGACATTCTTTACAAGCCGGCGCGCTCAACAGCGAAACTCTCTCTTACTCATCCCTGTGGCAAACCTTACCCGCCAACCAACCTGGTCGCCTACCACCTAACCCAGACCTCATACCTTGCCTGGCTGACCTTACCTACCTTGCCTTGTCTGTTGCTGAACCTCGTCCTGGGCAGTTCCGTTTGTACCTTAGCTGCGACAGCCACCGTCGTACCGCTCTTCGCAGCCCAGCACTCCAACCACTCCAACCACTGTTCAACAGCACCTCCTGCGCTCTCTCTCACGCACGTCTAAAGAGCAGACCGACGACCCCGATCGATACCTGCCAGACAGACCGACCTTTGCTGTGTGTCTCGACCCCGCCGAATCCGAACCTGCATCGTCGAATCCGCCTCCTGCCCGCATTTATCCTTCCATCTTCCCCGAGTTGAATTTGCCATTTCTTTTTCAATTATGCTACAGACGCATGGGGGACCTCACGACAATGGTACGTGTTGCAGCCTCGCAAGTCCGCATCCAGGCCCAAAGCTGGACCAGGAATATCTCCGACCTGACCAAGACTTCCACCTGTTGCAGGCACCGACACACACCATGAAGAGCCACGCGGAAGGAGCAGAGTGCCGACGACACAGCTGCAACTCCCAAAGAACCGAAGTACCGGAAATCTCGCCGTCGTAAACGATCAAACGGGCCGCGGCCGAATGCGCTTTTCCTTCGATTCCAGCTCTGTCGCCGAGGGCGAACCGATGCCTCCAAGGTGGGTTCATTCGTACTTGGGAATATCCGGTCTGTCTTTTTTGATGTGGTAGAGGGGCGAAGCGCGCGATCATCACGATGAACCACTGGTCGTGTTGGGCCGCCACAGGACCGAGTACACTTGTGGCCCTTGCGAGCCTCTGACGCGCGAACCCTCGCGAGGGCGCATCTAGGCCTGGGAGATCTCAAATGAGCGAGTCCAAGTGGCTCGTTCAATGCGATTTCCACCGATTCATGCGCCGGCTGAAAGAGCTGGCAATATCCAAATTTGCAGAAAATCCAAAGGCAGTCGGCCTGACGGACGTCACGGGTGCTAGTGTACCACTCGAGCTGTCACGGTGGCGGTTACACGATCACATGGCATCCCACAACCAGGCAAGGCATCGTGTCGCTGACAAGCCCTGCATAGCCACAGGTCCTCCATTGTAACAGACCACGACCATGGACTTGGTCTGTCCGGATTGCGTCGAATTCGACAACAGCCCTCTTCGCGAGCCCCGACTATACCGTCATCGTCGAACCCCGCCTCTAGAAGCTCATCCATCGGTCTATCGAGATCAACCTCTATGACAACCCTGATGGCAAACGCTCCAGGCATGTCCTTCAGCTCGCACCCGTCGTCGCCGAACTTTTCCGAAGATCTCTCTCGCTTCCCCTCCGAATCGTTACACTCGTTCTCTTTCGCCCACCAATCAGAAGAATATATCCATAACCGCCAAAATGTTCTGAAGAGATCTATAGAATTTATGAAGGACAGAATGGGGTGGTCCGTCTCGTCTTCAGATGTTGCACTGGCGAGTGCTCAGGCGCGAGCAGCGGGCGATGTAGAAACACAAAACATGCTCGATCTGCTGGCAAGGGCACAACTCGTCGGTGCAGGCAACCTGCCTACCAACGATCAAGCCCTCATCGGGCCTCTCACCGGGCCTGCCCAGGTTTCCGGAGAGAACTTGTTCGAAGCAAACTTCATCCCGCGAACCTCGAGCCCAGAGCCTTTCCACTCACCCTGCGAATCCCCAACCACGACACAACCAAAGCCGTTTTTCCCAGCAAGGGAGGAGTCACCGCAGAAGAAGCAAGAAGAGAAGTCGAAACAAACGTCAGGCGATGCAGAATCCGAGAGCTCAAGCAGGACCCCGACGAACGAGAGCGGTACAACAACAAAGACGTCTCCACCACCATCTCGTAGGCTGAGCCTGAAGCGCACGCTGACTGACACCCTCCCGGTCTCGGTTCACCAGCAGTTGATAGAGACGATGGCGCAACCATACCTGGCGGCCCACGAAGCACTCGCGTCCCCGACGACAGCCCACCCCCTTTCTGCAGGCCATATGCCAAGCGCCTTAGGTCCGGCTGTGCATGGGCATTCGACAAGATGGGTTCCTGCAGCACAAGCAATTTTCACGACAGAATCCAAGCCTCCATGGACAATCATTGCCGCCAACGATTTAGCTTGCCTGGTTTTCGGAGTCACAAAGGCTGAAGTCAGGAAAATGGGTATTCTGGAAGTCGTCCAAGAAGAGAGAAGAGCTTGGCTGGAGAAGAAATTGCTGCAAATGGAGCCCGAAGAGAGTCTAAATCACGAGGCTGAAGATGTTCCAGTACCTTCTCCTCCACCGGCATCATCAACATCACTACTGGGTGGCCGCGGCGGCATAACGGCCCAGTTGCTGAGCAAACCCAATTCTAGATCGCAACCCCCGAAAACCGTTCAACGCAAGGCACAAACCGTTCACAGCGGAGATCCTAATCCGCCAAAACTCAGAGGAAGCTCACGGCATCAGAGCAGTAGATCCAGAGGTGTTTTGCTGTGTGGTGACGTGGTTCCAATCCAAAAGCGAAACGGTGCGACGGGCTCCGCAAGTTTGTGGGTAAAGGAGAAGCGGGTTGGCTTGATCTGGGTCCTCGAGGAAATCCATGAAGACGTGGCCAATATCGAGCTCGACGACGAAGGTATCGTTCAGAAGATTTCGGGTGCTACGGCACCGATATGGGGCTATGAGTCCCTCAGGCCTGGGGTGGACGTCGGCAAGCTGATTCCGCGCATTCCCCGCCAAGGCATTGACCCTCGCACTGGTGAGGTTGACTTTGCCCAGATTGCGAGGCGCAAGTTTTTCACATGTCCAAACCCGGCCAAAGTCAACATTCCTTGCACGGTTGAGCAGGTACGCGGCAAGACTGAGCTGAGAGTCTCAAGCTTCCCGCACATTGCAGGGATCATCGTCGTTGACCCAGAGAACCTCAAAATTCAAAGCTCGAATTCCGTATTTTGCGGAGCTCTGTTTGGGTTCGAAAAGCCCGACGGCATGCCCATTGACTCGCTCATACCGAATTTTCAAAAGATACTCCATATTCTAACGGAGGAAGATGGCGTTGAGCTCCAAGATGGGATTGTTGTACCTGAGCACAGCTTCCGACGGGCATCGGCCATTTTGGGTCTGCGGGAAAACCGCCCAGATGCTGCCGCGACGTTTTTGCGCCCGGATGGGTTGCCAGGGAAACACAGGGACGGTTCTGAACTGAAGATCGACGTCCAAATGAGAGTCGTCAGAAGTGCAAAGCAATCCACGGTGATCCAGGAGACTGTGATTGAGGATGAGGATGAAGATAAGGGCGGAGATCAGCAAGACGACACATTCGCCATTACTCATTCGGAGGTCGTGTTCGCCCTTTGGATTACCTACTCCAGGCACATGCACGCCAGCAGATCAACTCTCGGCGTGACGTCGGCATCAGCCTCTGGAACGACAACTCCCTTACATCAGCCGTCGCCCGGACAGACGCCCGCACACACGCCACTCGAGATTAGTTCGGATTCCGACGAGCCCAAGTCGAAGGAACCATCAACTGCTTCCGCCATCACCAAGCAGCTCAAGGAAGTCGCAATGACAGCGGCCGCGAAGCTGACTGGTGCACATCGATCCACGGAAAAGAAGCAGCAAGAGAAGCCGTCCGTCCCGCAAGTCGTTGAGCCCTCTCACAAGAAGACAATCGATGATTTCCAGATCATCGAAGACATGGGACAGGGTGCATATGGTCAAGTCAAGCTGGCGAAGTACAAGACGACACAAAAGAAGGTAGTTTTGAAATACGTCACCAAGCGTCGCATTCTCGTGGATACGTGGACGAGAGATCGCAAGCTGGGCACAGTGCCTTTGGAAATTCACGTTCTGGACTACCTGCGAAGGCCCGATCTCAAACATCCGAACATTGTCGACATGGAGGACTTCTTCGAGGACGATGTGAACTATTACATCGAGATGGCTCCGCACGGTCTGCCAGGAATGGATCTCTTCGATTACATTGAGCTTCGCAGCAACATGGAAGAGGCCGAGTGCCGCAGCATGTTCGTCCAGGTCGCAAAGGCTATTGGCCATCTTCACACGAAGGCGCTGGTAGTACACAGAGATATCAAGGACGAAAATGTCATTTTGGACGGCGAGGGAAACATCAAGCTGATTGACTTTGGGAGTGCGGCGTATATCAAGAACGGGCCCTTTGACGTGTTCGTGGGCACGATTGGTAAGAGCAATCAGACTCATCTCTTGTTAAGGATACTAATAGAAATGCAGATTACGCTGCGCCGGAAGTCCTCGCAGGCAAGCCATACGGCGGCAAGGAGCAAGATGTGTGGGCACTGGGAATCCTGCTGTACACGATCATCTACAAGGAGAACCCGTTTTACAGCATCGACGAAATCATGGATCGCGACCTCCGCGTGCCGTGGACTATGAGCGACGAGAGCATAGACCTGGTGCGGTGCATGCTAAACCGGGATGTGCAGGCGCGATACGACATCAACCAAGTGCTCGCCCATCCCTGGTGCCAGGAAGTTGACGCCGAGTAACTGATTCGATGGTTTACGGTTGACGATGGAATGAGGAGTGGGGGTGAATGGTACAGGCCTGTGGAGGGCATGAAACAATTTGGTTGGTCAAGATACCCAAGAGCAATCTTGAACAGCACGGCCGGGTTCACCAGACCGGCCGGTTGTGCTTAGAGAGAGCCAGTTGACGCAAGCAAGAGACTTTTTTCTTTTCTTTTCCTTCGTTTGAATGTGATGACTTTTGGATGGAAGAGGAGGAAATGGATGTATGGCATGATGGCCGGCGGAGGAAAACGACGAGACTCGGAGAGACGGACAACCGGGTTGCACTTTGTACTGGGTTTGCATGGAGCTAGGTGGCATTTCAGCGAAGACAAGAAACTTGATAGAAAGAATCACAACTTTGGCAAACGGGATGGTGGGCGGCCCGGCGTAGCTTGTAAGGAATATAAAATATGAAATATTTTTTTTTTGAAAACTTCGTTCTGGTCGTGTTGATGATGCTCGTTGTGGACATGGGTCTGAAGGATTGTGGGCCTTCGGCTTCGAAGCCGAGTCCGGGGTCGCATGAGCCCCGCTCCGGTCCCGGGAAGGGTTCCGGCCCTCTGAATGCAGTCTTGAGATGAAAGGAATTTTGGTCCGAACAAAGACGCCTCTGGCCTATGTACCCTTTTTGCACTGTGGTTCTGCGTCACGGGTCACGCCCATGGTATAAAGACGTCAAAGCAGCAGGGTGGAATCAAACACCGCGCGGTGCGAAAATGGGGAGATGGGGGAGATTGGCGACCAATGTTTGTGCCCTTTCCTATGAAGTTTCAGGTGCTGGGTGGTACTCCAAGCCGGACATGATAGGGAGGAGATAAGAGCAGGGGTCTGGATTGTTTGAGGTTCATAAATAGTTGCTTATGGGTTGGTTGTACGTCTTTGAATATGGTGGAGATACGGATGATGGAGGGGAGGGGCTTGATTTTGACTGGCACTCCTGCCTTGGGCGAGGCTGTGTCCTAAGGCACTCTTCAGTGTGAACATCAAGGCGTTAAGCACTGTTATGCTGGGAACATACCAGAATCATTGGCTGCTTGAAGAGATCGACAGTCTATCCTACAAGAAGCTTTTTTAAATTGATGCCTCTGGCGGGGATGCTGATGTCAGGTAATCTGGTTCGTGAGCAGCCATGAGAGGAAGCCTTAAGCATTCGAAAAATCATTTGAATACGCATATTTGGAACCTCTCTTCTCTTGACCACAATGAACTGGGTCGAATGAATGTAGAAACATATTTTCACATAAACATGCGGATGTGTGCTGTGCGCGAGTGTGTTGAATAGTTGCCTTCGTGGAAAGGAACCTCGCTAGCTCACAAAAATGTGCAGTTAGCAGATTATTTGCGCAAAATACTCCGGAGATTATGATAGAGGTGATGAGAGGCAGGCAGTGAGACGTTGTGATATGCTAGTGCAAGACTCTGATGGTCTTACATCGTGGGCTGTAAGGAACAAAGCGTCGCCTGTCGCCCACTCCAAGGACCAGTGCTTCATTTCAAGCCATCTTCTCTCTTTTGCAAATTGTTTTCTATCTTCTCCAGGAAGAAAAATTAAATACTTTAAAACTTGCAGCATGATACATGTAGTAGTGGTCCGCGCCCGCGAATGTGGTGGTGCGGGTGGCAGTCTCGTACTATAGCTATGCGCTCCACGGTTCTTATCATTGTGTTTATCGTCCAGGGTAGATAAATACTTTGACCTGTCACAGTGCAACCTGACGGCAAGAAAATGAGCATTTGGCTAGGATGGGAGCTTATCCAGGCTGCACTTGTGGAAGAGAAGAGCATTGTTGAGCTGACCATCCAGTCATGGATGCTGGTGAGCCACCGCGAATCCTGGCCTCTGCTTATACTTGAGCGATGACTCCAAAAGAGACGGAGATATGTGTGAGCAGGAAACGATGGACGCGATGTCATGATGGAGTTCTTGGCGTTGGGGAGATGTGAACTGCTTTCTAGGGGTCAACAGCATATGGTATGCCAGGTATTGGAAGCAACGAATCTCCAGAGTAGTTCTATTGTGTGCAAACTCAATCTCATTAGCTCTGAGAAGAGTATTCATGGAGTTCCAAGGCAATATTGGTTGCCTCTGAACATGGCTGAGAGGGGGCATGCTCAGCCGGTGACATGGTGGCGCCTGACCAACGATGCATTCCCACGAGCCATGGGTTTCTCATGCGCACAACGCATTCAAACCAGTTCGTTATATAATAGATTGAACTTTGTGATAGAACGGGCTTCATAGGCACATCATGAGTCTGTGTTTGAGCCTGGAATGGATCGAAGTCGGTTTAAAAGCCGATGAGTTTAGCAACATCGAAATGCCACAGGTCCAATGCAGAACGCCCATTTCTAAGAGCCTTCCGAGCCATCCACAGTGATAGATTGCGAAATCGAAGTATTTTTGTAGCGAATACTGTGAGAGAAAGCAGGGCGAAGAGCGAAGCGTAGGTTAGGATGAGATGCCCGGTCTTGAATGAAACTGAGAGCATCATCTCGCATCCCAGGTAGGCGACAACGTTCCGTTTACTAAAAATGCAGGACTGGCTCAATGATATCAACATCACCTGTTATTTCAGCAACTTGATCCAATTGGACGCTTCTATATGTGTATGCTCGGTTGTACGCGGGAAGGGCCAAGACAGCCCTTTAAGCCGGTTCTTGGATGCAACATACCAGCCCGAGATCTCCTTGCTTCGTACTCGCATCGTCGATCTCGGCGTCCTTTGTCCTTTTCGCTGTGTCCCAACCAAACTGTGATACCCTCGTCCTCTCGATCTGGAAAACGGTGGAGACCAGAACTGCATTGAGACCTTTATTTCATCGCTGCCACGTTGCAGCAGCAGTCGCAAGTTGTCCGAATCCGTTTGCCTTCGCCAGAGACTTGGCATGCGGTGCGTACAAATAGGCCGCAGAACACCGTAAGTTTGCCTGATCCCTCATCGAACTCGGACTGCGTGTTCGTCAAGGTCTCCAAAAGACGGAACCACACTCTTTCAAATCATACAGGCCCCAAAATCCGTCAGTCGTTTCTAACATATCCCTCCCTCTACCACCATGCGGCTCCTCCTCCACCCAGCAATCCTCCTCCTCCTCGCCGCCCTCACAACCCTCACCTCCGCCTCCTCCGCCAAATGCTCCCGCTGGAAAGACGGCATCCCCATCACCAAAAACTTCGTCATCCCCATGTACCGCCGCTACTCCATCGAGGTCAGTGGCATGGACGAGGGCGAGGACGTGCCCGCGCTCTGCGGCACGCTGTGGAAGGAGCTGAAGCAGTTCAAGGGCAGCTGCGTCGTCTCCGTCGATAAGCCGACGTGCGAGGCCAACGGCCCCACGGCGCTCCAGTGGTCTTTCAGCGTGGGGCTGGGGTGTAATAAGGGGATGGTGCACGCGGCGTGGTGGGATTCTACGAAGAATCGGCTGGGGAAGATTGAGTGTGAGAACAATTGAGAGGATGGGAGGATGGGGTGGTTGTCGCTACGAGCTGAGAGGGGTTGGATTCTAATATATGCATTGGCCTGCGAACTCCCTAATGTTTCGAATCGAAGGACTTCATTTGAGGTCTAGATTGCCGCCAGATGTAATTTAGGATTGGCTGACTAGCTGATGAGGTCAATTCACTCATCACCTACCGCTGCTGCCACTTCGTTTCTCCCACTGGCCAAAGGACGTGCATATTCGATAAATAACCAACTCCTGTACTGGGCCGTAAGTATCTCGTACTTGTATCTCTATATACTGCAAGGTACGCCCAATGATGCGGTCTCAGGCGCCAGCTGGTTGGGGACAATTCCTCCAGTCCTCGATGAAAACCGATGCTAAGAGAAGGCCGCATGTTTGATAAGACGACCCCAAGATTGGCAATCTGGAGCAATCAGTCATGCATGTCATGATACAGTCTATTGACGGACGTAACATTTGTTTTGAGTGTTCGAGCAAGATCTAGCAACTTTTTGATGGGAATATACAGGTTCCCTTTTTGTTTCCGCGGACCATCCTCAGCATAGTCCCCCCATATCCCAAATTTTCCAAAGGCAGTTCAATCTAATGGGAGATCAAGCCCCCCGTAGGACGCAACAGCTTACACGCTGAGCTGCGCGGTCCCAGACTTGTTGATGTAGTCAGCGTAGGGGGCAAGGGCCTTCTGGATGGGACCACCCGGGCCCACGTAACGCTCGACGATGGTTCCGGAGCGTCCGGTGTACAGGGCCGGGTCCAGAATGTTGTCCAGCTCTGCGTGGACAGGCGCAAAGTACGGGGTCGCCCGGATACGCTCGATCAGGTCGTTGGCACCTCCCTCCTTCTTGACGACGTCGCTGGCCTGGTGGGACAGCACACGGATCTCCTCGTGTGCGTCCTGGCGCGAGCCGCCCTTAGCCACCAGCTTCATGATAATGTTCTCTAACGATGGACGTTAGCGCTCGCCCAGATCCTGGGTGACCCGATGGACAGGAAAAGTGGCCGTAATATGGAAGCTGCTTTGGTACAATCAGGGCCATTGAACGATATACGTTTGGGTCGGCCGGGTTGAGGTTGATCCTTCATTGGCGTTTGAAGTGCCGTCATTCCCGATAATGTGTTGTTTCGAGAGCGGTTTCCAGCGGAAAGCAATTTGAACCGAACCAAACTTATACCTTTTGATGGCCCTGATTCTACTAGTTTTAGCAGGACCTTTATGTTTCTTAAGGCGGCTTGTCAGAGGCGTTCAGAATCGAGTGAGGCCCCCGCATATCCTACTCATATAGCGAGCTCTAAGTGCACACTGACGTATCGCGAGATCATGCTAAATATAAGAGGTGACGGCCTCAAAAGACTGTGTGGCTATTTTTCCTGTCCAAAAGGTGATGGGGTGAGGAAAAGACTTACCGGTGGCCATGAACGGAAGCTCGTCCATCACGCGGGCGTGGATACGCTTAGGGTAGACAACCTTTGATTCTGTGAATAATTTGTCCAGATGGGAGAAAGTGAAGACTTACCAAGCCAGAGGTCACGTTGTCCAGTCCCAAAAGGATGGCGTCGGCAAGGAGGAACATCTGGATTTGTTAGTTCCAGGAGTTTCAAAGCTGAGTGAGTGATCAAACCTCCGGGATATCAATTCGCCTGATGGCAGAGTCATCGAGGGTACGTTCGAACCACTACGCCGTGTGTTAGAGATATGTAGTCCAGCGATGCTTCGATTCTTACCTGATCCGCGAAAGTATCCGCGAAGTTTACGGGCAATGAACGAAGTTTCCTTCCCAAGGAGCAAATGCGCTCGCTCTGAAATCCGTTAGTATCTATTGATGTGATGTAGAAGGGGGCGCAGGAGGGAGGTTTAGGCTCAGTATTGTCGCCTGACGATTCCAGGAAAATGAAATAAACTACGCACTCTCATGGGGTTTCTCTTGTCTATGTCCAAGTCAGCTTCAGTTCGGATACCAAGGGTCTTTTGAGACAATGAAAGAATATGTTTTTTTCTTTCTTTTTTTGTTGTAACGGGTTGGGCCGGGGACGAGGTGTGAGACTTACAAGCCATGGCGCTTGATCCGATCTGGTCCTTCTCGAAAGGCCTAGTCGAACGGTGAGAAATCTGTCCAATAGGATCACTTCATCTTGATAACTCACTCCTCGATCTCCTTCTGTGTAGCGAGGTGACGCAGGTCGTTGGTGATGTGCATCGCGGTGGCACCGAGGCCAGCAATGGCGTTGGACACATCCAAGTCGACCTTGCGGCTGTAAGTCTGGACTGAGATGTCGTAGACACCTGTTTCGAAGCCAGCCAACTCGCACAGGCGCTCATTCAGCTTGTCGATCTTCTCTCCGTCGCCGTGGTAGACCTCCATGAAGGAAGCCTGAGTGCCGGTGGTACCCATCGCACCACGGAAACGCAGTTCCTTGCGCTGAGTCTCAATGTTCTTCAAGTCCCTGGCCTGGAATTCTGTCAGCACCGTGCAATTAACTTTGGTAAGGCACTAACCAGGTCCTGAATCCACTGAGTAGCGCGACGGCCAACGGTGACTAAGAGATGATGGTAAGCCTTTTGGTTTTTAGCAACGCTGACGATTTACATGCGCCCCCAAATAGTGATTGAGCGGCATCTGAAAATAGCCTGTCTTGAAGCGTGCAAGGGGAGGAAGTGAACGCACTCAGCTGGGCGGGCTGGTAGTGGGTATAGCCCAGGGTGGGGAGACTGCGAATTATCAGAGAAAGTCCCCAGTGGTGAGAGATATGGATGTATTCTCACTCCTTGTGCTCAACAGCAAACTTAGAAAGGTTGTCGATCACCTTGGCCAGCTTGGGCAGCAGCAAGTCCATGGCATCTCTCATCAGAATCAACTCGGCATTGTCAGTGACATAGCCTAGTTCATCTAGTTAGCCATTTTTTCAAGAGAGCTATGTGAGAGAATGTTTACATGAAGTTGCTCCGTAATGGATGATGGGGGCAGCCGCAGGAGCGACTTGCCCAAATGCGTGGACGTCTAAGTCGTGTCAGTAATGTGGTCATGAGACTGGGAGAAAAGTCAGCCGATGAACTCACGGGCCATCTACGGATTGTCAGTAACTCTCGGATGATTTGGCATTCGGATAACATACAACATCGTGGCGGCGTCTCTTCTCCTCAACGGCGGCGACCTGGAAGTCCTCGTCCGTGACAGTCAGATGCTCTTCCATCTGCTTCAATGCCTCGTCTGTGATGCCCTCAACGCCAGTCTCCTTCTCAGCTTGGGCAAGGAAAAGCTGGAATACCTCGTCAGCAGAAGTCGCCGTAACTTGAGACAATTCCGCTACGCACCCACAACTTGCGCCAGGTGGAGTGTCTGGATCTCGCTCCGAAGAGCGTTTTCATTTCGGGGCTGGCATATCTGCCGTCGAGCGGAGTTGCGTACGTATCGTAGCCCATCTTTTTTGTAGTTTGTGGAGGCTGAGCTTGAGAGCTGGAAGATGAGTTTGTGAAAAGGCGAAGTTGAAGACTTGAGTCAACCCGAAGTTTTCCGTTAAGAAAAAAAGCTGTCTGAGTTACCAGTGAAGTGACCCCGCCATCTGCCACACTGACCCCGCGGTGCTGTTTTGGGCAGGCGGTCAGAAAACCCCAAGTGCCCCGGCAGCCCACTTCAGCAAGCCGACCGGTGACCCCTGCCGGTCGGGTCCTCTTACCTCATCTTGGGAAGCACGAATCAAGGTACATCGGCTTGGCCCAAGCTTCAGCCAACTCTTGTTTAGTTCCTCTCCAGCCACCATCGACCAACTAACTACATCCCCCTTCATCATCAGTCGAAGCCTGTCGTTGTAGCTCTTTGAGTGCTGAAGTTTGATCTGGGATGTGCGTCCCATCGCTTCTTATCTCTTGTAGTCAACAGAACTCCTGGTTCAGGGGGTAATCAGTGCACGATGAGAGCCCTCGATGAGACCCAGTGAGTGCGCGTCGCATCATCACAACAGCCCTGACATCATCCTCACCGACTAATCCAATATACAGGACCCGATGGGCCGAGACTTTGAAGTACGCAGGCATTCTGCCTGATTTACAGCGCGCAGTAAAATACAATGGCTCATCGAGTCCGTGTATCTCGGGTTGCAGGTCTGTTTGCTGGAAGGTCAGTGTGGACTAAGTGCAGCCCGTCGTCTCATGCCATTGCGAGCTGACCAGCGCACACACCCAGGCTTTCCTGCTTTTTCAGACTGCAGAAGTTGCAGAGTGGGCACAACACATTTCCGAATCCCGTAATTACTACTCTCGGCAGCGCGATCATTTCTTGAAGTTCATAAAGCATCCCGAAGAGCTTGCCAAAGTGGCTGTTGATCCTCTGACCGATGATCCGAAGGTCAGCATCCTGCCGTGATTATTATCACATGCCGACATGCTCACCTCCTCTCCCAGTCCCCTTGGAACACCGTCCGGCAGGACGAGATTATTCGAGCAGAAATCGCGCAGGACGTTCGCCGCCTCCCAGACGAGCCATTTTATCACGAAGAACGAATCCAAACGATGATCATTGATGCGCTATTCGTGTACTGCAAATTGCATCCGAACAGCGGTGGCTATCGTCAGGGAATGCATGAGCTTTTTGCGCCCATTGCCTATGTCGTCAACCAAGATACGCTGGACCGCGAAAGCGTCTCTTCGAGTGGTGTCACGGCAGATGAGACAATGCTCACAGTGCTTGATTCGTCCTACATTGAGCATGACACCTTTGCGATGTTCTCAAAGATCATGGAGAAAGCGAAGGCGTTTTACGAAGTTAAGGATTCCATTTCTAGAGCAGCACTGGCATCCGCTTCCAAGGATCGGGCAGAAACCTCGGCCATCGTCGAGAAGAGCAAGTACATCCACGAGGTTTGCTTGGCAAAGGTCGATCCTGAGCTGGCAAACCATCTCAAAGATATTGAAATCCTGCCACAGATCTTTCTTATGTAAGTGCTTCAGGCTAGAACTTTTTGTCATTCCTGCTAATACAGGTCTCAGTCGTTGGATCCGCCTTCTGTTTGGGCGCGAATTCCCATTTGATCAGTGTCTCGTACTCTGGGATACCATGTTTGCCGTCGACCCGTCGCTCAACTTGATTGATCTGATTTGCGTTGCTATGCTAATTAGGATCCGCTGGAGTTGTGAGTCTTTTCACATCTGCACTGATTTCTCAATTAACACCTCCCAGTGCTCGAAGCAGACTATTCTGTCTGTTTACAGTTGCTCTTGAAATACCCAGCCCCTGAAGCTCCCCATGGCCCACACACATTCGTGGACGATGCAGTGTATCTCAGAACGCATCTTAATATGTCAGGTGGCGCGTCACTTATCTTGAAATACACGGGGAAGATGCCGAGCTCAACACCGACGCCATCGGCTGGTAGCTCGCGGCCATCGACGCCGATGGGTCAGGCATTCTCCTCGTTCAGGCACCGCAACAAGGGAGCGCACTCCCCAATACCGTCCCCAGGCAGGTTCATCCAACAGCAAGGCGGCGTGGAGGCTTTGTTTCAAGGTGCCGCCAAAAACATGCTCGAAAGGAGCGAGAAGCTGGGCATTAACCAGGCCGTTCGGGATGCCATGGGCGAAATCAAAAGAAACATGCAAGGCCTCAACGACGTGCGCTACTCGCCTCGTGTGGCGAGGCAGCTGCTCAATGACGAGACCGCGGCCCAGGCAGTGGCCGCATTGGAGAGAAGAAATAGACTATTGGCCAATATGCTAGACGAGACGGTTTCTAGTCTGAGATCTCTGGCTACATCTGATCTGGATAACAAGGTTAAGACTCTAGAGCTTGTCGAAGTCGCTGCCGCGAAGGTCCAGTTCGTAAAGGTGTACTTGGAGGATTCCACTATCGAGGTCCCGGATCTGGAGAGCATCGCAAGCCCGACATCCGAGGATAACAAAGAAGAGGTCCCGATGGACATCGGACCAGACGATAGCGCCGTTCTCGGTGGGATGCCCGCCCCTGAAAACGTCGCAAATGGCATTTCAACTTTGTCGCTTCAAGAAGACGGGAAGCCGAAATCTTCGGATCCGCAACCGATTCTGCCTGATGCAATGGAGATCACCGAAGACAGCCTTCCTACCCAGCCATCGGAGGCGCCATCAGTGTCGGTGTCAAGTCCGGCATCTGGAACTCCCTCACCGAAGGTCCAGCGGCCTCAACCGCCGATCCCAACACGGTCAACTCTCGCACAGTCTTCGTTCTCTTGGATGCTCGAGCCGGACCAGTCGGCGCACTCAGCAACGCCGCCGCAGCTACCAAAGGCTACTTCAGGAGGCAACCACCGCAAGCGACCTTCTGGGAATATCAGCAGAGAGCGCAACGCATTTCTCTTTGGCGAGGTCGTGGCCGAGTCAGAAGACCAGAGCAAACCGGTCAAGTCGGACGATATTTTTGGACTACAGCCGATGGGCAAGTCGAAGTCCCCTTTTGCATGAAATACACATTGCAGGTTTAGAGTCACATAACGATTACGAAGTCAATATGGAAAGCTGTAGCGGCATGGTTATGATGAGGTTACGACGCGTTGCATTATTCCTTAGAAGGCTTGAAGTCTACACAGCATAATGCTAGGGTAATGATCATCGTCTCTCTACTCCACGGTTCTAATGCATTATGCTGGAACAAATGGCAGGTTCTATCGATGCTGTGCCGCAAATATTGATACTGTGCTTCACCTGTCTCTGCTACCTGAGCATCCGGGGCCTCTTGCCAGGCTCGCTCTCAGGCTTTCGACGGGCACCAGGCCGATCTTTCCTGCCCCTGTCTAGTGACAATCGACGATGTTGAGGCAGGAGTCAACTTGTTGGAGCCGGGTGCCAGGAAGGTACTTTGCTTGTGGCTACCTACCTATGCACCAATGTCCAGAGTTCCACATTCGTCACCGTTTACTGACAGCTTCACATCGTGGAACCAACAGTGGACAATTTGTGCGCGCAAACCTCGCTTGGTGCTCCCTATTCCGACACACTTCACCTCATTCGCCTCAAAGGACCTCTGGCAATCCATATCTCATCAATTGGGCCCCCAACCAAGATCTAAATGGACAGTAGCTGCATTGCCTCTTACGTGCCCCGTTCCACAGCACACCGAAAGCAACAAGATCTGCCCACTGCCACGATTCCGTGTCCTCGGGCTCGGAGGCGGTGTCGCCTCGTCCTACGGCGCACACGCACATCAACTCCAACAAGCCAGCTGAAGACATCAACATCGTCAAGCCGACTGATCCTTCGAGAATGCTTCCATGCGGGCTTGACAACAATCACCAACGTGCATTCAGCAACGCCACCATACGCGAGAGCCAAAGCCATTGACGCTAATCAAGGAAAACACACAGTCCAAAGCGGCCGGATCACCAACCTGGAACCAACAACCACTTCCTCAACAACCCTTGCTCGAGTGGAGACGACCAAAGAAATTCAACCTCTCCCAACCCTGTCAACGGTAGCAAACACGCAGCAGAACCATCCGTCTTCATCGTCACCAACAACAAGCGTATCCACCCTTCTTCATGAATCCGTCAAACCATGCAACCCCAATTTGAATTCTACAACTACAGGGGTTGCTTGCAACTTAGCAAAGACACTCGGGAAACACCCTGTCCAGGGGTTCGTCGTCTTCGACCCGGAGTCCCGACTCTAGCAGACATGGCAACCCCAAAGTTGACTCTGTGCTGCTTGACAAACCTGCGGTACACACCTTGAAGAGGACGCATGCCAATCCAACGGCACATTATCTGTCTGTGTCTGGCCTGTGGCACCACACCCCAACACCCTGAAAACCCATACCCAAGGATGCGTCACATGGCCTCCCGATTTCAACAAGAGCAATTTACTTGGCTGGAGAAGGCAAGCAAACAAACAAACAATTCAGCAGCTTTGGCCATCTTGCAAACTGCCACACGCCCCTCGGTGCCCCCGGCAGTACAAGTCCTTCATGCTTTCAACGGTCTGTCACTTCTGAACCGACGCCACCAACGGTCAGGCAGTTCCGACAGTCTGGTTCGTAACATCGTTTGGACACCATACTAGGTGCAAACACGAGAACCAACCCTCGCATCCCCACACTGACAATCATCGTCAGGATTCTTCATCTCTTCATCACCACCGCATCACACCCCTTCGTTAGCCTGCCTGCCCCAGTGTGGTGCCCCTGGAATATTCGACAACAATAGGGCATCCGGTGAAAGCCCATGTTCCTGCGTCGAGGAAACAAGCCACCACACATGGCCCACTCTCATCTCTAGTCTTCTCCTCCGGCCGCCAGTTTGCCCAACACACGCCCTTGCTGACCGAAGAATGCCATGTCAGCTTCCCTCCCCCAACACCAACGCCAACGCCGTGCATCTACAGGCGCTGTCCGCATCATCCAATGCCGACCAAGCCTCGCGGCCTCATCACACAGCCCTGATCTCCCAGAGACCTGTCCTGCTTCACGCCCCGGCACCATCAAGTCCGAACCTGCACCCCAAACCAAGCAATCGCCAACTCATCCCACACACATATCTCTCCCCAAGCCACCCAACGGCCCTCCACCACTATGCTACGGCCGTATGAAGAAGATGCTATTCATATCTGCCCGAACGCCCTGCGCCAGGCGGTCACACAGTAGTACTGCACCGAACTTGCTGATGGGGGAGGGATTCCGCCCAGCATGCAGGGGTCTAGACACGACAGCCGTCAAAAGACAGGTGTTTGCCTCGCCCCGTTCTGCTTTATTCCCTCCTATTCCCCAAATAATCTTCTTTCCAACGTGGCCCCAAACCCCCTGATCCCAGACGTCCTCTCCCAGTTTCAGTGCCCTATTGTCCAAGCCCATGACAATGGGGGGCACAGACGTCGACGACAAAGCAGCCGCATGATGATCTGCTCCCCCAACTCCCATCAAAGCCCCAGTCCCAGCGGGTTCTCTCTTACATTTCAGGAAATCACAAAGGGAAAGTTGTTCAGCTGACCCAAATGATTATCTGTGCACACAAGGACTGGAGGTTCGCTTGGTTCGGTTTCGAGTCTTTCAGTATTGAGCATCTTGAGGCGCTCCCTGTATTCGTCTAAATCTACTATTATCCTACCCTTGTCCGGGGTGGGAAAGATGGATTCTATATACAACCAGGGCAGCAGCAATGGCCAACCCCGTAAGAGACATGTACAGACAGGGCTTCCAACCCGCCCCCAACCTCCTCCGCTTCCTCCGCGGGAAAAGCAAGACCATCGTGAATGCAGAAAAACACACTTCGTATATCATAATCCCTGAGGTTGAACCCTTTTGGGACTTTAGAAAAGGTTATGACCCCTTTGATGATGTTTGAAAGCAGACAACAAGATAAAAAGCCAGACAAGCTGACCACGGCCCTTCCCCCGGGCCTCCCAACGCGCGCCTGGTATCTCGTTTTGCCCATGACACCTGCCTCCCCTTCCAAATGTAGCAACTCCGGTTTTTTTCATTTCATTTCCCACCGTGAATTCCCATGAGTCCCGTCCTCGTCGTCTCGGCATCCCAATAAAAGACAAAAAAGAGAGAGGCAAACCGGGTCTCAGTGGGCGACCTGTAGATATGCCAGCCCACATACCCTTGCGCTCCAGAAAAACGTTGTAACTTGTATCCCTTTCTTCCGGGGAGACAGAGTCGAAGAGAAGATGGAAAGCAAACGCCCCTTGATTCTTCATCATCGTACACGACCACAGTGTTGTTTTTTATTACTTTTTGTGCTTTTGGCATTTCGCTTGCGGGGTAAAAGAAAAGGGAAACGACGGTTCTTTTAGAGATTACACACTAATGACCTGATTTTTGTGTATCCTTTTTTGTGACGTGTTTTGATTGTGTCCCTGGGTGTAAAGTTTTGTGTGAAGCTGTGGAGAAAGGAGAAAAAGGCAAGAATGGAAGGAATCTTGGGATATCTGTCGTAAAAACGCAAGAAGAGAAAAAAAAAAGAAGAAGCAAAATCTCGTGACGGAGGAAGAGAAGAAGTAAGTAGTACGCAGAGAGGAGAAGCTAGAGACGGCTGTTTTGGATGGCTCGCCTGCGCTTCTTGCGTTGCTCTGCGGCGTCGAGCTGGGCTTGTCTCGCTCGACCTGTAGTTCATGTTAGCTTAGATGCTCTGTTTTGTAATTGTAGCCGACGTAAACATACCAACTTTCTCGTACTGCCTCTTGTGCTCCTCCGAGACCCAGGAGTAGGTGATGGCGCGCTCGGGGTGCATGGCGAGCAGGCCGATGGAGTTGTTCATCTTCTTGCCCTGCTCGCGGACGTCGCACTGGAATGTGCGCGGGTTGTCGTCCTCGTCGAAGACGAAGAGGTTGTTCTGGTCCGTGGCGGGAATCTGCTTGTTCTTGCGGTAGTAGACGCCCTGAAGCCCCTGGGGCCCGCGCTTGTGGCCCTTTGCAGCGTCCTCGGGGAAGACGGAGGCGTACTTGGCCTCGACCTCCTTCCAGGAGAGGTGGTGGTCGACGCGGAAGTAGTCGATAAAGTCGACCTGCTGGATGGTGTATTTTACGTTGCAGCGGGAGCCGGTGGGAGAGCGGCGGGGGCGGCGGGAGGGAGAGGAGCCGCCGGTGCGGAGAGTCACGGGGAGGCGGTTCGTGAGGCGGCGACCGACGATGGGGGGCGAGAGGGGGTGGCGGTGGTGCTGGTGCTGGCTTGTCGTTGGGGAGGGGAGGGCGTCTGGGTAGGCCATAGGCGGGATGGGCATGCGGTAGGCGGTTGGGCTGGGGATGTCGATGCGGGATTCTGGAAAGGAGTTGATGGACTCGAGGGAGGTCCTACGGGGACCCGTCAAGGGGGTCATGAAGGTTGCTGAGTTTGGCGGTTGAGGGGGGAATTCCGGGTCCGGGAGGCGGAGGTCGAGTTCGCGGAGGCGTGGGAGGGTGATTTGGGCGTTGGCCGAGGAGGACGAGAAACTGCCGTCTTTGGAGGTGAAGGAGAGCTGAGAGGAGACCGACGGAAGGAGGTCTGGCGATCTTGGTTCAGGCGAGGAGAACTGAGAGTTTGTTGATCTCGTCATATCTGAGACTTGACGCGTGAGCCGTCGGTTCCTGTCATGAGTGAGAGGGCTTTCCCTACCTTCTGACTTTACTGATGAGAAGCTTTGTGTGGGTGAGGGGAGCGTGGGTGACTTGAGATTGAAAGATGCCATGGAGGCAAGTGTGGTTGCGACTTCCACTTCGTGACGCTGACCCGTTGACGAGGGCTGCTGCTTCGGGTCGTAGCGGACATCGACATCCATTCTGTCATCGTAGCCGAAAGAGGAGGAGAGACTGGGGAGGACTCTGGGGACGTCGTCGTTGCGGGCTTGAGTGAGACTGCTTGGCGGAGGCAGCCTATCCATGCCGTGCCGGTGTTCTTGTAAGCCAACAAACATGTTGCCTGATGTTGATGATGATGATCAAGTTGCGTGAGGTGTCGAAGAGGTAGTTGATCCAAAGACGACGAGGTCTGAAGG